GGTTTCTAAAGTTAAGTAAAGATTTTTCACGGTAGCACCCCAAATCAGTTTCGCAATGTAAGAACGTTTAGTTTTTCAAAGACTTTGCGATTAAATGCGCTACTCTGATTTAACTAGTAAGGTGGGGTGTTACAATTGGTATCAGAGCACGTTTCTGCGTCTCTGATAAGTTTTCAGTCAGATAAGTTTTCAGTAAGTAATTTTTCAGAAAAGTTTTCAAAAAAGTTTACAGTTCGAAATTTTTCAGTAAAACCCGAACCGTCATGTTCACGCCCCGCCGACGACAGGTAAGTGCTGTTGCAATTCAGTTTTCAGTTATTATAAACATATTACTTTGTCTATGCTCAGTATTGAGGATCAGAACTTTAGTTAAGATGCTCGAATCAGATTCAGACTCTAGAGGTTGGACATGACTCTAGTATTCAGGCATTCAGATATGACTCTAGACGTTAGGATTTTTCCGAGATGACTCTAGAGTTCTTCAGGTTTCCAGTCAGTAATTATCAGCCACTTTTGGCAACTTGTCAAGAGATCTGTGTGCCTAGTAATCAGTCAGTAAGGCTATCATGTATTCAGTAATATTCAGTAATGTTAAATCTTTCTTAATGTTCAGATGCCGCCACGTAGAGAGCCCGATCATCAGGGTCCTACCCAGGCAACGGTAGTCGCCCAGTTCCGCGACTATCACGCAGAGAAGTTCTCAGGTCAGGGCGACCCCCGTATCGTCGATGAATGGATTCAGGGGTTGGAGTTTATCTTCGAAGTTATGGAATGCCCCGATAGGTTTCGCGTAGTTTGCGCTCAGCTTCAACTCACCGGCGACGCGAGGCTCTGGTGGAACGCCTACTGGAGCATGCGGCCCGGTGAAAAGGCGGGTTGTACATGGGACATGTTCAAAGATCTTGTCCGCGACAAGTACTACCCTTCGTACTATCGGGCAGAAATGGAGCGCCAGTTCTTAGCGCTTCAGCAGGGCACTCGTACTGTCGATGAGTACGAGCGTGAGTTCACCAGGCTTGCAGGTTTTGCACCGGATCTTGTTCGCACGGAGGCCCAGAGAGCTCAGAGGTTCATTGACGGACTATACCCAGCAGTCCGTCATAACATTGTGGGACACGGGACTCAGACTTATGCACGAGCCGTCTCTATCGCACAGGAGGTTGACGCGAGCATTAGGAGGGAGGCCGTTCGTGATCGTGCTCAGCCAGCTGCTCCAGTTCAGCCAGTCGTAATTCCACCAGCTTTACCAGCTCCGCAGCCAGCTAAGGACAAGAAGAGGAATGCAAAGGGTGCACAGACAGACCGGAGGACCCGACAGAGACAGATTCCACCATGCCCGACTTGTGGCCGGCTTCACAGGGGAGAGTGCCGTGCTGGACAGGACATTTGCTACTTTTGCCAGGAGCCGGGACATTTCGCGAGTCGTTGCCCGAAGAAGCTTCAGCAGCAGCCTCAACAGCCACAGCAGCAGCAGCCACGACAGCCGGCACAGAGACCGCAGCAGCAGCAGCAGCAGTAGAGGGGCCGACAGCAGGCCAGGGTCTACGCGGTCGATCAGGCGGAGGCAGCACAGCAACCAGGTACAATGTCCGGGATGATCGTTCTTAATGAAGTTCCTGTGTTTGTGTTATTCGATACCGGAGCAACACACACCTTCATCTCCCGACGGTGTCTCGACGCCATCGGAGTTCATGCAGTCACCGCTGTCGATCCTCTCGAGGTTAGTTTAGCCTCGGGACGAAAGATAGTGACCTCAGCCAAAGCTACAGACCTTAGCCTTTCCATCGGTGGCCGTGTATTGACCGCCGACGCGTTCGTTCTCGAGATGAAGGATTTCGATCTTATTCTCGGGATGGATTGGCTATCTTTCTATCATGCTGATATCAGGTGCCATGACCGGGAGATTACTCTCTATCTTCCAGGAGACGAGTCGATTACTTTCTTCGGCTCCAAGAACCGTTCATTGCCTCATGTTATATCGATGGCGAAAGCCACTAAGCTATTGCGACGAGGCAACTGCCAGGGTTACCTGGTAAGCCTTGTTGAGGATTCCCAGAGAGCGCGGACACCTCATGATGTTCCTATTGTTCGCGAGTTCGTCGACGTCTTCCAAGACGAGCTTCCAGGAGGACCGCCCAACCGTCAGGTGGAGTTTTCCATTGATCTTATTCCAGGGGCAGGTCCAGTATCTAAAGCCCCATATCGCATGGCGCCTAAAGAGTTGCAGGAGCTTAAGACTCAGATCCAGGAGCTATTACGGCTCGGTTTCATCCGACCGAGTGTGTCACCGTGGGGAGCACCCGTTCTTTTTGTTAAGAAGAAGGACGGATCTATGCGAATGTGTATCGACTACCGGGATCTCAACCGGTTGACGATCAAGAATAAGTACCCGCTTCCCCGGATCGACGAATTATTCGACCAGTTGAGGGGAGCCTGTGTATTTTCGAAGATCGATTTACGGTCAGGCTACCACCAGCTGAAGATTAAGGAGTCAGACATCGCTAAGACCGCTTTCAGGACTCGTTACGGCCATTACGAGTTTGTAGTCATGCCTTTCAGTCTCAGCAATGCGCCAGCAGTGTTCATGGATCTCATGAACCGTATCTTTCATCCATACCTCGATCAGTTCGTGATTGTCTTTATTGACGACATTCTCATCTACTCGAAGAGTCAGAAGGAGCATGAGGAGCATCTGAGGGTGGTTCTCGAAATCCTCAGACGAGAGAAGTTGTACGCTAAATTCTCCAAGTGCGAGTTCTGGCTTCAGC